TTAAAAATTTTTTTTTTTTTTTTTTTTTTTTTTTTTAATAATTAAACAGTGATCGATCAGATCATCCTGATCCATTGGACACAATGGACCATCATCAACCTATTTATTGCTCAATGGTAAACTCACTGGAATCTGCAGGTGATGGTGGGTTGAGGGTATCCGGTGAGCAGCATTCACTCGGCGATGGTGATCTTTCACGTTTTGTAACCGGCTCGAGATGAAGGCCTGCCGGTCCTTGATGACCGCCAGCATCGTTATTGTTCATCTTGTGCAATTGGCCACCCTGCATCGTACCTTGTCCACCCCCGGCAACGCCATCGACAGGGATACCATTCTCCGAGAGGAACTCGTCCAGGTCCACGTACTGTCAAAAAATAAGTCACGTGAGAACATTCACACCTAACGGTAAGGTTAGACATAAAGCGTGCAACGTACACAAACACTGGTCGCTCTTAACGGTCATATCAATCTGGTTAATGAGTGATAATTAGTGGGAGGTTGATAAGCACGATATTACCAATTGCGTTTATGGATCGAATCGAGAAAGTGAACAATAATATAATAGAGATTAACGTTAGTCAATAATAAATAATATTCTTACAGAAAATAATAAAAATAATTATAGCAAAAAAGGGGTAAAATTGTAAATTTTTTTAATTTTTTTCAAAATTAATTTTTCGCACCCTTTTATTTAAATTTACGCGGGGAACAGCATCGTTTACCGGGTGTCTTTGTTAGTGGCGATGAAAAAAAAAGTCAAGGTCTAGCCAAGCAAGAAGTGTCAATGAAGAATCAAGGTCCGCCGGGAGATCAGTCAGGAAAGGCCGCGCCTGATTCAACTGTAGACTTTCCTCCGTGGTGTTAGGTGGGGATGCGTGTCTTGTGTGTAAGAGTCATGCACGCGAAGGACCTGACATTTATCCGAGTCCTACTAAGGATTTCAAAGATCGTACAACTCTAACGGTACTCCATTAGGAACATCAAAGTAAAAAAAGTAACCCCAGTCTGGATGCCTATAAACATCAGAGAAAGTTAGATCGCTGGAAGATAACAGTGGGCGAGGTCATTATGAATCTTATCGATAAACCCCCAGCAATGTACCTGCAAGTTATTTATATGTATCTACCTGTACAAATCTATTAGACTGGAAAGTGAATAGGTTATGTATATATGCCGACTTGAGGAAGAACTTTTGCGATAGGGCAAAAGAGAGACGAAGGAAGGAAAAAAAAAGAAAGAAAATTAAAGTGAAAGTTATCGCGAGATAGGTGGTAAAGTTCGATAATCAATTTCCCGTTTTTACGATTACGGCCATCAAGGAACGTGGCTGAAGCAGGCATAAATTCTTTCGAATTTCCCGCACTGTTACGTAGCGAACCAGACGCCCTGCGGACGAAATTGGTACTATCGAAGACAAGAGTGCAAACCATTCTATAGACTTCCTCAATGAAAAGTCCCTATGTAAAACGCAACGTCCACTATTGCTACAAGGAATTGAAAGTAAGACGTTGAATTCACCATAAAAGAAAATTAACACTTGTACATTATATCTCCTTGTCTCACGTGATCAACGCTCGCTCGTGAATTTGCGAGATTGACGGTAATAATTAAATTCATATTAAGCAATAGACGGTCTATTATTCACGTAGGACTTTGAACGAACGGTGTCTGGTACCGGTGATATCCAACTCAAGGATTCCACGAAGAAAATCTTTCCGGGTAGAATCTGGACGGGTCTTCATAAATAAACCATAGACTATGGTATACTCCGTACCGTATCTAGATAGGCGTGCGTATACAGTATAAGCGGCAGTAGCAGACACGTGGCGTTGGCGCAAGAAATAAAATAAAATGGAGTGTCTCGTGCTCGTCCACTTGTCTAACGCCGAAATACGAATTAAGTGGAAACGTCGACGATTTGATTTAGACATTGAATTCTAAGCGAAGTTAAAGTCAGCGACCCGTCATTTTGATTGGCAATATTAAACACGATTGATAGTTTCATATGCGCGAACGTCCGCTGTTATACACATAATGTCTGTTCGATTAAAATCTGATACCAGCAATATGAATCCCAATTTTAATATATGAATTTATGGTTATGTTGGCTTTCAAAAATCCCCAGGAATATACGAGTGACTATAGAGAAGCGACGTACAGTAAATTTATCAGTCGGCTCCTCGTGAACGTCAGAGAGCAATATACGAATACATCACTGAAAATAGATTGAGGCTGTTCCGCGAGAGTCCAGGCCCCCACCGCCCGCAGTGAGATATTGATCGATATCATCGATCCGCATTGGACATAGGTGAGAAATAGATCCCAGATCAAGGTAGGAAGGAAAAAAAGCAGTGAAAATGAAAATATAAAACTTAAGCATTAATTTTTTTACAAGCATAGGAAGTCTTATATGAGATGGACAAATTTCACGCAAACTGATCGTTAGTGGCGATTACTGTTAATTGTTGGTAAATTATGATGCAAGCTGAGGAACACGCCATATATTTTTTTTCTAATGCGAATTTCGATTTAGCGAGGCTGAGGGCTTACCGTCTCGCGTCTGTGTACATACATGGTTTAATACCTTCAGGTCGGCATCGTAGGGCAGAGTTTTGTCCCATAAATTTGGCCCAAGGAAGGCGGCCTGCGCTTCCACGTTGCCCCAGAGTTCGCCGTCGGCGTCTTTCTTCTCTTCTGGTCCATCCTTGCCTTGTTTCCCTGTAAAACAAATACAAGGGGTCGCGAATCAGTGAGAATTCTTGAATTTGATCTAGAGGGACAATTAATAAATGTACATATAGTACCCATGGGTACCAAGAGGATCTAGTGTAGGCCAATGATAGATGATGATGATAATAATAACATGGGACTTGTAGTGACGTCATTGATCCTAGTCAAAACAATTTTTGAAGTCTGATATTATTCTAGGACGCTGCCTGGGCGAAACAGGTATAGCGTGTTTTGGATGAGTTCTGGAAAAAGGGGCCCACAGGGGCACCCCGATGAACGCGGAACAGGATGGCCCCCGGGGCCGAAATCGCCCTAGCGAAAAAAGAACGGCACTGGCCTTGAAGAGGCTTACCTAAAAATAGCATGGCTGTGGCCAAGGAGCCCGAGCGCATCTCAGCCGCGTTCCTTTTCACGGCCATAACGACGCTATGACTGACTTTTGATTCCAGGAAGAAAAATTTTAATTTTATATAAAATTGATTGATATCAATTTGAATATATTACTATTTCATTTTGTCAATGCCAGGAGCGATGAATGGTTCAGAGATGATACGAGTGATTACTGTTCTAGTAAGGACTATACTTATGTATTGCCGTTGACTTTATTCAATGCTACACACGTTTCGAATAGGTTGGACCAAAAGTACAGTCTCGTTTCCACGAAGGAATTTCGCGCGATCGTATTGCGGCTTCGACGTGGACAGACGAGGAGAGCGGTCGGGTCGACTGTCAGTCAAGGCTATGAGAGTACGCTTGTCACGCTAGGATGTTGGCTAGCCACAGATCGAATGAAAATAACACAGGATGATGATGATGATGATGATGAGGATGATGATGATGATGAAGCTAATGACGATAGTTATGACGATAACTTATGGCAGTAGAAGTACATTACAAAAACCGTGTGAAAAAAAATGTTCCCTTCAAGTTTTTCATAATGAGTAGTGGAAATACAAGAAAATAAATGTTACAATAACAACTAAACACTTAAATACCTCTTCATCGGATAGATAATAGACTTGCGTATCGCAAGAGTCTCGATTGTTTGATAATGGGTAAAAAAAATGCTCTGCTACGAGTAAGACGTTTAAAACCCGAGTCGCCATAATTCCTTAACTAATGGCATATTGTAAAGTCAGCCTTGAATTATCTAAGCATGCGAGTAACAATTGAAGATTAATACTAAATTTTAAAGCCACCAAGTATAGCGTATATACACCCAATAGACGAATACCCGATGGTAGTAACGGGAGCGTAAAGAAAATCATCTTTAGCGTTGGATAAAGCAGCAACAATAATTATGGTACTGGCGAATGCGTTTCAATGATAAAACGCTCGAGGGATTATTTGATTCCCATATTCCGTCCTATCCTAACCTTCTTCTTCTTCTTTATATATAGTTGGCACTAGTTAGGACTCTAGTCCGTTACAAGCGGCCACCTATCCTAACCTAATGGCAGGATGACTCAGGACCACGACGAACCTTGGTATTGTTCAGCGACGCGAACTGCGGCGCGGAACACAACGGCTTGATGTTTACCACGGAAATGCAATTCTCGTGAATGAACGGATAAAATCAGAGTCTCCTGTTTCCCTCGCAGTTCTCCCGTCATTCGCCACTGACTTTCATATCTATTCTCTGTCTTCCATCTCGCTCCTCTGCACTGCCGCTCTCTCTCTTTCTGCCTCTGACACTTCTTTCCGTCGGCTGGCAACTAGGGACAGTGGTAGATGTCGAGCCAGACGCCACCAGCAACAGCTACTACCACAATGGCTACCCTTCTCCGATTCCCTATAGTCTATGCCTCGTGAAGCGTCTGCCCTCTTACCCCCTACCCGAAGCATTCTGCTTCCTCCCTTCGCCGCTCGTCGCGCCGCATCGCAACACGAGATTAGTTCCGCAGAGCCACGACACAGTCAGCCTTGAACCAAATTACTGCCGGCCGTTGTTTAGTTGTTTAGCCAGCGCTGCACCATTATGCCTGGAGAATATTTACGGTAGCATCCGACGAGACACTGCATGGTAATTCGTGTGGTTGAAGTTGACGAAGTGAACTAAGTGGATCGATGGGGATTACCTATGGAAATATTTTTAGGTTACTTATTAAATTGTGCGGCTACGTACGTGAAAACTTCGAGGAGCTGTATGCATTTACGCAGTTATAGCCTTACTGTCGTTTGAATTTACTTAAGTAGGAAACGACCGAATGATGCAGCAAAAGAGTGTCGCGATTTCCGTTACGCCAGGAGAGAACCAGTTCTTTCTCTTCTTTGGCAGACAGGTAATACGTCTAATCATGGTTCTTCGTGGTGGCTTACGTAACCGCAACACGCAAACGTATACGTAGCTCGCGCACGGCATTTTCAAGAGAGAGCTTGGCTGTCTCCTCGCCGACAAGAGGAAGAACTCGCGCGGAGTTTGGTGTACCAGGAAAAAGTTGACGTTTAAAAAAAAAAAGGAACGTCTCGCGCGATGTGTCCACTTCTACGTGCCGTCGCTGCGAAGATTCATGGTTTAAAAACAGTGTTTACGCCTTCCTTTAACCGTCGTTTGAGGAAGCGAAGTTTCAGTGGAAATGACGACAAGGGAGGGCAAGGATTGGCCAACCCTGGCGTGAATGGTATGCGCTATGTCCGAAATAGCCATGAGCCAAGGCCGCAGGAAACTATCTCCAAACAAACGTGATTATTTATGGCATCGAGGATCGGTAAAGTTTTCTGCATCGTTTCTAAAGTGATTGTCACTCGTTAATTACAAAAAATTGTATGCTTGTTCCCAAAGCCACTGGTAGACAGTGAGTAGCGATATACGTATATATGCAATTATTGTGTCTTGTGTCTCTTGCATTAACCAGTCGTAATGATAATGGCCGACTCTACCTCTAGAATCGAAGAGATCCTGTTGCCCTGTAGCAGATTCACTTTCGTCTCGCATTCACGCGAGACTCGTTGCAATCCAATACGCCTATCCTTGAGGACAACAACGTCACGGTTCAACGAGACCATCTCCCTGGTCCAATAAGTAAGCCTGGCACGAATGTCATATTGCAACGACCCGCCGTTCGTGCACGATGGCGTCTCTGTTGGGATCGACTGCGCAACGCGAGAAGAAGAAACAGCTTTACGGAAGAAGAAAGAGGCGACAGAAAGAGGGAAGGAATAAATAAGAAGTGAAAAAAAGACAAGCAAGGGAACATTGCGTAATGACGAAAAGAAATAAACGTTCGATCAAAGATACAGCAACCACGTGGCTCACGAAGTTGTGAATAATAAAGAGTAGGCGACTGACCGATTATCGAATTCTATTTACACGCGACGCCGCTAACCTCTGCATTTGCGTAACCCGGAAAACTATAAGATTTTTGCATAATACCGAACGAACCGGTTTAACCGATTCTCTATTATCACGAGTCTGGCGATCGATAGATCGTAAGCAGAAAAAAATAATTAAATAGAAATTCAATATCGAACATCGAATTATTGTGATTATCGCGTTTCTCTAACCGCAGCCAATGTGGGCAGGGTCCCAACGGAGAATGCACTTCCTGCTTAAATAATGGAGATGGGAAAAAAAGAGTGACAGGAAGTACCGGGTAACTTCGTACGGATTTTACAATTGCGTTTTTTTGTCCTAGACTCTGCTAATATTAAAGTCAAACATATATATACATATATTTCATCGCAAAGAGACAAGCGTCAGTCTTCTTTGACTGCTCGTAAAAATTCTACACGTTTCTTCGAGACGGTGCTGCATCCAGCGCGCTCTTGTTCACGGCCGACCAAAGCTCAGGGCTCTGCGGTCGATTCAATTCGCCCGGTGAAATAATGGCGACGCCAGTAGGTAACGCTGACTTACGGCCAGTAAATCTTGAATTCTTGTCAGAGTCGGTATGATTTGTATCGCGACGCGTCCCGACGATCCTCAGTCAAGGTACGAAGAACAACGGTAACGCGAACTGACCACGGCTTTCAACTTAAATCCATTAGAAAATAGTTTCCCGTAATGGCCGTTGCAGCCGGCGGCATCTGGAAACGCGCCTTAAGGCTACGAGCGCCACGACAGTGAGAGCGTTACTGTCATAAGACATTACAAAACGATCCTTGCTCTATGATAACAAATGGCCCTAACACACTGCGTGTACTTGGTAATACATATATTCTTTTTCTCAAGCCACATAACCGCCGTGTACTCAGATATACAGAATATTATCGCACGATGGAAATATTTAGTAAATTCTCACTGCCATTGCTCCCAGGTACGTTGCACGAAGTGTTTGGACTCATCGGCGTATGTACACAGCTGCGAGCAAGGACACAGAACGGACTGTTCAAAAGTGTGCCCGAGTATCTTCCGCCGAAATTCAGACATTGTTCGTGCCAGACTGTAAATGCGTGTATAGACACACACGTGCATTGATGATAAGCATAATTATGCAGAATGAAGCTGGAGAAGTTCGCATAACGGGAATGAGAAGCAGCGAGCCACGAAGTCGTCCTTGGCCGCTCCTCCTGGTATTAAATAAACGGCTACCTCCTGGGAATCATTTCCTGGACATGTTCAGCCAAGAGTGTCGGACGGTATAGCATTTGATTGATATATTTGTCCGTGTCTACGACAATGATTATTTTAACCCTGAGGAGGTTCCTTCCCGAACGATTCACCAGGGTACCGAGGCTCTACGCCATACGGACGATCCTAACCTCTTACAGTGAAATCAACAGTCGGCATAAGTACCGGTGTAACGGACGAGAGTGAAAGAGGTTTCGCTTTCGTCGGAACATTCCCACTCCGGGATTTGTACCTAACCTAACCTACCTGGCTACCTCGTTGCGTTTCCCCGTTACCTGGTGACCTACTCCCAAGGCACGAGCTCACGCTCTGACGCAGACGCACACGCAGCCATGTCTTATCCCGCGAGCTTAGAAAGTGAACGTCGTCCTCGTCGTCATCTTTGGCAGCGGCGAAAGGTGCCTTCCGTGTGTTACTCTACGTGTATGCACTGCGCCCAGGAGGTTATCAGGGTTTTGGGAAAGATGAAAGAAATTTTCATAAATTTTTCAAGACGATTCAAAAAAGTGTTTTTCTTCCTTTAGAAACGACCTACCGGCATGAGTCATTGGAGATCTTCATCAGCTCTGCGGATGCGAGGTCCGACGAGTAGAATTTCTGTACTTTGGTTAGAAATTCTATGCGGCTGGACTTGGAATCATTAAACTGTCTTCGCGGAGCATAATTCATGCTCGTTCTATCTTTTGATTTGTGCGTCGTAAACCGGTAACTGGTTATACTTATTATTTATTGTGGCTGGTGAGTAATTTAGTTAGTATTCTTTTTTTTTTAGTTTACGTATCACGGCACTTGAGCGTGGCGCCTGGGCACAAGGTGGTTTTCAATGCTGGACGATATCGAGAGATAAGAATAAAATGTATCGAGTCTACGTGTACAGTTTAGTTGCGTACAACAGGCACCTTCTGACACGCATGCGGAAAGCGAGTCGAGAGTTCCTAGTGATTTCTCTTAACGCACACGCGAATATCCTTCCCGGTTAAGTCCGCCGTGAGGATAGTGGGGAGGTCCGTATGCACGGGATAGTCGGTATTACAGTTATATATGCCTATAAAAATTACACGTTAATCGAACGGACGGAATGCGAAAAAAGAAGCTGTCCTGGTAAAATTGCACTTCCGGAAACACGTCTCCCGAGCATTTTTCATGCCGATCGTGGAATCCGGGCAAGCACCTAACTCGAGTAATATGAAACATATACCCAGTGTCAAATCTGACCTTAAGCTAATTATTAAACAGTGACTTATGGGGTAATAAAAAAAAGGCCAAGTGTTATAGTACCAAAACGATTTCTATTCCGGTTTTAAAATATAACGAGGATTAGAAATGACCGTCACTTTTTTAATTTAATTCTGGTTTCTCTTTGTCTAATATTTCACGACGTTCCTCTTACAGCTGGACGTACGGGCAGACTTTGGATACAGGAAGACGGGTCTGACGCTACTGTGAGAACTGCGTGTCTGGATGCTGGAGCGCGCCAGGACCTATTTGCAAAAAGGTCGAATCGACTCTTTTTGCTCGACAATGCTCAGGCAGCATGTCGTGCGGTGTCTGGGCCCGGCTAGTGAAAGCTGCGGAGCCACTTTCCCCAGGGCGAACGAGCGCTCAGCTGGTTTCCGGGGGCCCCACTAGCCTGGCCCCAGTCCCATCCAACGCCGTGGTATCAGACCTCAATAGAACACAGTTACTCACGTCCCACCATCGCTCCACTAAAAGTCTTACCGGTCCGACGCTTAAATGTTAACCACTCTCTAGTCGAGCCCCTCCCGTGCCTGGGCAACCGCTCACAAGGCACAGGCCTGATGTACTGATCTTGGCATTTTTACAGGAACCCTACGGCACCAACCCGATGATGCCTCGTGGGCATGATTACTGGAAAAGTATTGATCTGGCACCTTGTGGATGGATTCTGGCGGTATCAATTGATAGTAATAAATTATCCAGGAGCACCGAGTGTCATTTGGTCTCCCTTTTGGAATTATCCAATTTTTATGTCAGATCTCGCTTTTACTTTCTCTGATTGATCATTGACCAAATAGAAGTAGGTGATTCCAGGCTCTCTCTATGATTATCCCACTTCGCGAATGGCGGTCAAGCACATTCCGTAGGTCAGTTCTGCATCACTTTCGCTGATGTCTCTTACGTGTTACCCAACAATTACGCTGGACGTCGCGACGCGTCCGTCTTGCCCTGTTGGGATCGTCGACGATATGCAAATATGATGAAATATTGGAAAATTTAATGACGATTCATGGAAACCATTGCAGATCCATGAGTTTCGTACGACGACTGTTTACAGGGGGGAAAATAATTATCGTGCCTGTAATTATTTTTAAGCGTCCATGAAGGCTGGTGATAATTAACTATGCCAAGTAGTGGTGAATTTTAGATTAAGATGCATCGAACAGGTTAAACGATAACTTGACTTTGTTTAGACTTACGGTTTCCATTAGATGGCACGTGGCTGATAAGAAGCAATGATAACGATAACGCCTAATATTTTGGTAACCGATATCGAGGACTAGTAAATAAGTTAAGACGAGCAGCCATTTTACTTCGACTTCCGATCAATCTGAATTCTTCGGGATCTGTTTAAATGGAGTTAACGTAGGTTCGGGCTCGTTGCTTCTTTTTTTTAAGGCCGTTTACATGCAACTACTTCGTGTAGTTGAGGCTATACCCGTGGCTGGGTTAGACTGCGGAAGTACCGTGGGTTCTCGGCTTGCGACTCTCTCCTTCCGCTTCTGGAATGTACCTAACTCCTAATGCGAGAGAGAGAGGGAGAGGAAGCAGGAGATACGGAAATAAAGGAAAAATGAAAGAGACAGTATTACCACCTGTTGCTTTTATCTTCCCAGCTGAAGTCGCTATGAGGATAACCTTACTGCGTCAGGTTTGCAGGATCGTTTCCCATGTCGCGAAATTTCACAACTTCGTCGCATTCCCATGGAGCTACGGGCGCGGGGAGGGTGGTGGGGTTCAAGAAGGAGGGCCAATGGTATTTCTGGGGGGAAAGCGAAATCCAATTTGCGACAGAACCTTAAGTCGCTGGGACGGCCAAGCGCGGTTGTCTTTTCACCAGGGTGCTTTTTTCTCAGTTTACAGAAAGTTTGTAAACACGTGTGTATATGAACTTTCATAAAAATTTCAAAAAGGCCCGTATCCACGAAGGATACCCTAAGGTGCGTTTATCTGGTGATTTTTCGTGAAAATAAAAGATGAAAAAGTAGGGGGAGAAGAGAGAATAATAAAAAAAGACTTGCTTCACTTTCATGAAATTAAGCAACAAAGCGGCCGTTACCTTATGACTGGAATTATTGTTGTCAAGGCGGTTCACAGACGAGCGACTGGACAAATAGTACCGATTAGCTCTGTTCGTGATCCACGTTATTCCTAATATTCACATTACGGTCCTTTAATGGACGAAGCGAAGATTCGAAGGTTCGTCCTGGTCAGTATTGACTCGTTTAAAATAATTAGCTGCGCAAAAAAAATTACTCGACCGCAATTCACTTTCAAAACTTTCTCGGATATAGCTCCGGTGTATACCCGCACAGGCAATGAGCATGGCGCTGACAGTTGGTAACCGTGTTAGCTGGCGTTGGGTAGTTCGGGATGCCGATTAACGAAACTAATGAAAATAAAAAAAGGAATCACGGCGGTTACGCAATCGCGGGCAAACGAAAGTGCTCGCTATGTGAAATGACGCCTGGAAGGAACTACTTCTCGCCATCTAGGAGGACTAATGACAACTAATTTCAGATAGCAATCGTTAAAGGTACCGCGCGCGCGCTCACGTTTCTCCCGCGAAATAGAGATCGGGCTTGCGATGTATTACCCAGAATTCTTCGGGGTTTCTTTCGAGAGAAACAAAATGGCGTCGCTACGTTATTCGTTCTCACTGGAGCATGCTGGAGGTGGGAAGCGTTCTTAAAAATTTTACGGAAATAAATATAAAGAAAATCGGGGTCACTGGAGGTAACGTTATAATATGTAAGGTTGCAAAAAATATCGATATCTTCGAATCGAAATCTTATAGATCGATCGATCCTACAGTTAATTCAAAGATAACATACACACTCGGGACTTGTTAGTTGCGTTCACAGCACAGTTGACCTAGTCGGGCTAGTTGGCTGCGTAATCTAAAATTAATTCCCAACAGCTGTTTAACCCAGGGATAGATCGACTGTACTGACGGGTTCTCAAATTAATTTTTTTCTTTCCATACATGTCAAGGTTATTGCGGGACGTTTTGCGAACGCGGATGATTTCACACGGAAGTCATTACGCGAGTATATAAAGTACTCGAAAGAATTGTCAATTTTTCGAATTCATATGTATATATATATATTTTTTCCTAAGACAGCGCAGCCGCATGCGACGTCTGGTATCGCGATTTGACATTTGACTGGCCTCCTTTCTCCGGGGCTGCCACGTGCTCCTGGATTTGGCTACGAGCGAGAAAGTAGTGTTAGAAGTTACGGCGGATACCGACGTGAAATTTGAAAATACTCGAGCGGCGTCGCGACGCTCAACAATTCATTGTACGCGTACAAAAATTCTGTTGGATTTCGTAATGAAATTAAAAAAAAATATTATCAGATTGAAGAAATAAAGAATATTTTAATTCGAAAAATTCCCCCCCACCTCGGATGAAAAAAAATTTCATTAAATTTTTTCATTTACTTTCATTGTTAAATTCAAAACTCGAATGAACGATGAAAGTGAAACTTCATGGACGAGTGCTGTAAGATTGAGTGTATATACACTCAATCACACTATATATATTAATATTAATAACAATTATAATGAAGAGAAAAAAAGAACAAAAAATTAATTCCATGGATGACGAAATAAAGTAGTCATGTGATCACAGAGCTGTATGCACGTTCGTTTAATATATGTATTCTGATGAAATTTATATATGTTATTATAATCCAATCGATTGCATGCGTTTATAGATAGGGCGGTTTTTCTTATTTTCTAATTGATAATCATTACGAGCTACCATATACCCATGAAATAACTCGTGGCGTTGCAAAGAACGCCGGAACGACGAAAGGAAGGAAAAAAAAAAGAAAAAATTGCGTAATTGTCAATTATCGACGAGTAAATTATATTTCACGTATATAGGCTAGGAGATAAGCAGGTAATTATACGTCGGGTAATTACATGGAACGCGCAGGCACCATTGACGGTCGGATAAAGGAACGAAGGAATAATAATGAACGTGTTACGAAGAAACAAAAAGTTTTACACGTGAAAAAGAAAAAGGTGGCGTCCATATTGGTTTTCTCCGTTTACGCGGAGGTACAGTACGCGTGGATAATTATAATGTAGGGTATAGTCTGATACGTAAATAAAATAAAGCTGTCTCGGATATTAGCCGGTATACCACTGTTCGTGTCGATTGATGAAGGAAGTGAGTCTCGAAGACACGTTCGAATGGCTTTCAGAGGATATATGGAACAGCAGGAAGGCGGAATTGAAAACTGGATCTGAAGAAGGAAGTCGACCTGTATCTATCGGGTGTCTAGGAAAATAATTAAAGAGTGAAAATGCCAGGCGCGCCTGGCGATTATTTTTGGCTTTTGGGCGACCACTTTGAATTCCAGTCTGAATGAAATTCACTGGGGACGGACGCGTTTGCATGTGAACGACGCCAAAACTTTATGGTATACGACCTCGAAGTATGAAAGTGCTCAGGAGACGTTCTTCGAATTTTTGGATCCTTTTGAGAAAAAAAAAATTTAATCTTTGATATTTAATTTTTAGGAAAAAAATTTTTTACGCACATCCGGTAAATTTTGAAAAATCATTGAATTTAGGTATACAGGTGCCACTGGCTTGTGTTCGTAATACTTGATTGATCTAGGGATCTTGATAATTTTGATTTTGTAATTTATCATTCGTAGGAAACGGACGAGTGCTTTTGATCTAGGAAGTCGAGGATCACGTGACTTTCACTTTCACCGCCAAAATAACGAGGACGCACGCACCGTTGCGTATTTAGGGAGAAACGAACGCATAAATGTATTGCCTTGTTTTTTATTTTTTATAATAATTTTTTTCCTTTGTATTTTCTCACATCCAAGACCAGGCACTTTTAGTTCACGGATGAATAATATGAGTAAAAGAGGGATGGGCAAAGAATTGAAAAGAATTTTCGAAGAGAAATAAATCGATATCGATCCACTTGAAAATCGGATCGACAGGTCTGGTATTATTAAACGATAATAGACTTAACGCTCGGTGATTCTCTGGTGGGACCAGAAACGCGTTTTAAACGTAGCAACGATCAGGCGACCGGTCTCATCGATAAACCGGTCTAAGCCATCCGGATACCGATTTCGTATGTCGCGATAATGAATTATCAATAATCAAATCTGACAAGGCAATTGTGATATCACATCAATACCGACCTACAAAATGTAAAAATCGGTATGACCGATTTTCTAAGACACTTGGAGATCTCGTACAGTAAGACACCGATCTTTTTTTCTCTCTTTATTTTCCCTTTTTTTCCATCTCAATTTCGTACCGATACCGATACCGATCCCGTGGCCAACTTCACGCTTGACGAGATCGGCAGGCAGGTCCAGGCGAAATTTATATCCACGTCAAAGAGCGTCTTCGCGGTTGAAGAAACTTGCGGCTACTTTTGACTCGTTATGGTAACCGAGCACAACAGCCCGCAATATCGGTATTTCCTTACCGATATCGAAAAGGAATTTAATTTTCGTCGTCGACACGGGTAAAGAGAAGGGGAAAAAAGCGTAAACAGACGTGACATGAAAATAAGCCTCGAAAAATTCTTCCAGGTGAAACTTCCTATGTAAACGCGAGTAAAGAAACGACGACAACCGGTTTTGCAAACGCACAGAGGTATATGGCGTTCGGAAATAAGAAAAAGACCCGAGAAACGTCCAGTGCGACAGAGAGAAAGAGAGAGAGAGAGAGAGTATTTAAAACGACAAAGAGACAATAAACAAAAAATAATGAAAAAATAAAGGAAAATTATTACCCTCAATGGTACTCAACGTGAATTATATCGATTAGTATGATTTTCTTAAATATCGTAAAGACATGTATAGCAACGAATAATATTTAAAAGTCTTGACTTGACTGAAGCAGTACCTACCAACTACCGGATTCATTATCATGACGGTAAAACAATGTTTGTTAACTACGACCGCGTTACTCAAATGCAATGGTCGGGAAAAAACATGTTTGTACCATGTGATTAAAAAAAAAAAAATCCAAAAAAAAACATCTTCCATGACATACCGTTATTTTTGTTAACAAAAAAATTTCTCTCCATAAAAGGGAAAATGTGCGAGAGAAATTTCTCAAGCTTTACTCCGCACGTTCAATTCATCCGCGTAATGAAACTTACGTTGACACTAAATCCCGCGATTGTTACCAACGTTCCAAAAGTCATACATGCATAAAATACGCGCGCAATCATCGGTTCGCGTGTAAGCGCGCCCTAAGTCACGTAAACCGGGAACTCGACTACTCAACCCGGAAGAATCGGTCTTCGGGTTCTGACTGAGTGCGGCGAGTGAGCGACCGTTGGAGAAAGTAATCACAGCCCACGCTATGGTTGGGAACAGACAGACACCTTGTCTTCGAATAGCCAGTGTTTCTCAGTAGATAGGAATAAAAAAAAAAATCCGAAACAAGCGATAACTTACAATACGATTACGCGATTAAAAAGTAAGTCTAAAAATCTCGACAAAGATCGCATAAAAAAATTGCCAAAGAATCGCTCAAAAAATTCCACAAAAAAGATAATCTTAAAACTCGTGACCGATGAGAATTGGTGAAATAAAAATATTGAAAAAAAATTTTTTTTTTCCAAAAACCAGATTCGAACCCTATCTCAACCGACTTGGACTTTGTTCGTTGTCTCCTTACGGAATTCCTGCAAGGTGTGTGAAGTTGGTGTTTCGTTAGATCGTGAGAAAATCTATACCGGAAGCTGAGACGGTAAGAGATTTTCAAATGGCACGAACTTTATAGAACAAGACGCAAGTGAGTCTAACCGGTAGCAGGTAAGAAATAATTTATTGTAATTCCGCAATTAAGTATAAAGGAAAGTGAGCGAAATGCATGCACTGATTGTGATGCACCGAGTGCATGCAGCATTGAGCTGTCGTAGGGGAATGGTATTGGTGTTTTAACACTGAAGTCGTGAAGTGCACCGTGGATGCACGGTGCGTCAACTTCGTGAATTGAAAGTGAAAACAATCCTTGCGAATCCTCGCCACAAGTTCCTCGAGTAACGTGAACTTTCAAGAAAAAAAAAAAAAAAAAAAAAAAAAAAAAAAAAAAAAAAAGAAAAAAAACGTAAAATTTCGACGTTTCATACAAAATGGCAATTTTGACACGTTCGATATATCGAAATCGAGTGCAAGCCATGACGTCTTGGCACCTGTGACGTAGTAACTATCAAATTACGACACAGCATAGCGACCTATCATTATCTTAACCGGCCTCTTTTTTTTTTTCAACCAAGCAATTAATTTTCTAATGCACCTGAATTGCACGCTAGACTAGTTTTCACAGTGATAACGAAAACCGTCGGTCGCGATAACACACGGAATGCGTCGTTTGCGCAACGTGCAAGTTTTCAATGTAGCGTCGTTTTTCTTTTTTAACTTTCGCACCGAATCAACGATACCTCAAAAAAACTTGTCTCCCTAAATAAATCCCGTAGACGCGTGAGCGGAGAAACACGTAAATTTACCAGAAAGTTTTCTCGATTCTTGCGTCATCTAGATAATACTTAATTAAACGGCTCTTAGCTGCTAAATTACGCTTATCCATTGATATGCACCTTTTTTTTTTTAGTCGAACAATCAAGACACGTGGCAAAATCTACAACTGTTTTCAAAATACGAATAAGCTCGCCCGCTCATCGAAGATCCAAGTAAACAATTGAGAATCGACGAGTCGCTTAATTGGAATCGCTCGAATTTAACGATCGACGATAACACGGTAAATAAAGTTATCGGGCGTCGAATTCCAGCGTGGTTATCAGTATAAAAAAATCACTATATATATATATATATATATATATCCACAACGAATAAATTCTGTCATCCAGATTTCTCTTATCATTGGAATCTAAAACCCACGTGGAACTATCATTTGATTCTCTATGCACGGATAATTTAATCAGTCGGTCATCCACAACGAATAAATTCTGTCATCCATAAATAAAGTTATCGGGCGTCGAATTCCAGCGTGGTTATCAGTATAAAAAAATCACTATATATATATATATATATCCACAACGAATAAATTCTGTCATCCAGATTTCTCTTATCATTGGAATCTAAAACCCACGTGGAACTATCATTTGATTCTCTATGCACGGATAATTTAATCAGTCGGTCGGACAAAGCGAAGAAAAGAAAAAATTGTTATCACGAAAGTCTATGAAGAGACCTCCTGCTATCAGTACGGTCGGGTCGTCTGATAAGACAGCTGTTTATTTATAAAACATTCTTATTACCGCCAACGATTCGTACACACCGAACGGAGTCGCAAGTCCATATTTTTTTTTTTCGGGTCACCGATTCGCAAAAATACGAACTTTCTCGAAATTTCGAAAAAAAAAAAAATTTAAACCTATCGCAACATCTTTCGCTGTACGTTACTCGCGAGGATGACGAATGAGAGGATACTTATCGACACAACCGTTTTTTACCTGAAATACAGAAAAACCCAAGAAAAAAAAAATGTCCATCGATACACGTTACGTTGTGAAACCTTAACTTTTTTTATCGAATTATGTTGGGAATTTGAAAAAAAAATTTTTTTTTACACCCAACCTAATCAACAGTTAAAACCACGTGGTTATTATTCCGATACGAAACGTGAAATCGCACAATCATGTCGAACTGCTATTACGTTCGATAACGTTTACACGATTTATGTTAATGATAATTAATATCATTAATCAAATCGTGATGGATAACTTAATTAATCGTGTTATCATAATTATAGTAAAGATTCGTTGAGTCGAGACGTTCGGAGCGACGAATAGAAAGGTTCGATGCGAATAAATGAGAAAAAACGTAGAATTAAGTGCACGGAATATTTTATAATCGCAACAGGTAGAACCAGCGAACAAACTGGTGGCGACGATTAGCCAGATCATTGGCGGCCATAATTGAGTCATGGATCATTTCGGTCCCATTCGCATTTTCTAACCAATGAATACAAGATTGATGATAGTAAACCTGTCGACCAACTAACAGTTTACAAATTGCCATATAATGGTAGGTTACGATTTTTCAAGAATATCAGATACCCACGCGACGATAACGAAATGAAATAATTAATCATTAAAATTATAGTGAATCAAGCGAAACCCGCGCTTATAAACTCAGCCTGTTTCCAAGTTATCCGACAATAGTCCAAAAAGGCGACTGTGCGTAGGGTGCGAATAACTTGAGATTCTGATTAAGTGAAGAAGCAAAAAATATTCTCAAAAAATATTTTCAAATATTTTCATATATAAAAAAAAAATTTTCTCAAGAGTATATATACACATAACTCTGAGCCAAGTAAATGCAATTTTCTCCCAACGTGTCGCATCCATCCCAATGCAAGCGCCTAATGCAATACGTAAGGACACGTAAGCACTGTCGCGCGTTGCAAAGCGCCTTAAGCCCCCCGGTACCCGCAGTCAAGCTGACACCTGGTAAAGGTGGGTCGAGAGTGTCGACTTTTTGTGGCTTCGTTCAGACCATGGATTAAAACCCAAGGTCAGGTTACGGTTAGTGGGCCAGGGTCCTCTCAGAGGAGAGAACCTTAGCGCGAATGAAGTATAACGCTTAGCAAAGGGCATAAAGTTTAAAGGTCGAGGTGACTGACACACGACATTTTTTTGTTGTTTCATTAACAAAAAAAGAAATCACCGATCGCATACAAAACACGAGCACGACGATTCACAGTGATCCTGGTAGAAGAGCTAGATACGCGATAAATAGTCGAGGTCATAGGTCATCGAATATGGATCCGTTAGACTAAGTTATCAGCGAAACCGTCGTATGCTGAGTTCATTAATAAAAGGGTCAAAATTACACAGAAACGCACGTATACGTACGCCACGTTCGCGAGATCGTGACTCGTGGATCAAAGATCCTTTCGTCAAGGTCACCACGGATAAATCAAAGCATATAGGTCAGGAGGTGACGTTCAATCGGCGTCTAAAGATCTACAGTAATACCAACAAGATCGTTGACACGTGGGACGTACGTAGTACAACGAATCGTACCAACGTATGATAAAGCCAGTAAAAAAAGTTTCCCTGAAAAAAAAATAATTCCCTATATCGATACCAGTACCAAAAATGCAGTCTTGTTGGTATCTACAGTAATACCAACAAGATCGTTGACACGTGGGACGTACGTAGTACAACGAATCGTACCAACGTATGATAAAGCCAGTAAAAAAAATTTCCCTGAAAAAAAAAAATAGTTCCCTATATCGATACCAGTACCAAAAATGCAGTCGGGATAAATCCTTCGGACTCTCCGAAATAAAATTCGCGAGTGTCTCTGATCGGTCGGAAACATTCACCTATATATATATATATATACAGTACTGACGTCTATTAAAAGACACCGGAAGATAATGGGATCGCTGTTATCCGAGTGTGGCCGGCGCCACGTGACCTGTACTGTATCCCGATACGTATATAAATCTGTATTGATTGAACGTAGGTACAGGGTTCAGCAGACACGATTATCGGTATCGGCGCGATGCACTGCCAGTCCAATTGGTAGATTCGAGCTACAGTTTGCAATTACCTGTATCGGTACCTGCCTAGCAACAAGCCTCCTACACCCCATAGCGTGAAGTCTAATCGCGATTCTATTTTCGCGCTATAGCATTACCCGCTGGTCATTGGATGACAATAGTATGAAAAAAAAAAAGAAAAAAAAAAGGTAAGCAGGACGAGGGAGAGGCCCGATCATTCGCCCATCCCTGACCCATTGTGTCATGGTGAATTAGAAGCACCCATGGTGTCCCATTGTTATGACATAAATAATTCGAAACTCATACCAATTCGTTTGAGCCTACTTGGACCCATGTGCTCCACATAGCTAATCGTCTGGTGGATGGACGTATGTTCATGCGTGTACATATGTGCAAAGGTACCAATACAAGGTCAGCCAGTTTGTCAGCGATGGTATAGCGTCTGTGTGGATGATTCGAAGAGAGAGAGAGAGAGAGAGAGAGAGAGAGAGAGAGAGAGAGAGAGAGAGAGCGAGTGAGATGGAAAACGACGTGGGTACGTGGTTGGTAACATACGTTACAGGGAACACATATGCTCGCGTATAGACGGATCGGGGCTAACGGAGTTAAGTGACTTCATCTGGCAACCAATCAGCATTAGCAGACTCGATGAAATGCTCGAAATGTTTGTCTCGATCTCCCGCATACTGCTGTCTCTCACGCTCACGTTACCAAGGATCGTCATTTCGGCTCATCCGTCTCTCTCTCTCTCGCGCTTTCTGTATCATCCATTGGGACTGAAGTTCGATGACGTCACGGCACTTCAACCGGTCAAGCTCGACGGGGAGAATCGAACGCGATGCTCGACGGCCCTGACTCCGTCGCCAGACGGAAGCGGACCGCATGCGGAATAATTTAGCGTAATCGAAAGGCGTGGGGTTAATCGATGCTGGAAGGCGAGTGTAAAGAGATGAGTAGAGAGAGAGGAGTGGGGGGTGGGGATACAAAGGAATAGAATAGGATGGGGGTAGAGTGGAGAAAAAATTAAAAACTCACTAACTGGACCGTTAATAATTATTTTAAGAAATGATAAAAAAAATTGCTTTCGATTTTAATATGAAATTCTTCATTGTTCGTGCGAATGATTGTGGCTGGAGAAAATTTAAAACAAATTTTTTTTTTTTCATTTCCGGTTGCGAGACCGTCTGGAAATTTTGTTATCCGGTATGCGGATAAGGGGATGAGGCGTATGTGAAAAGATGCAAGAGCGAGCGAGTATGTGGGTGGACAGTGTAAACAAGAGAGATAACAATAACGGGCGTAGGTAAATGCAAATGCAAGGAGCTTGAGGCAATTTCATCGCGATCTTATATGTATATATATATTGTATTCGGTACAGGTACATAAGACACATAATATGTAAGAGAGGTATATCTGCATATGTATATACATGAAAATAAGGATGATTCATTCGTGTTACATTCAGTACGATATGTGAGTAACGTGTGCGAAAAGATCTTTCCTGACTGAGAATACATGCGGGAACGAGGGGAAAATATAAACCAGATTGGATATACAGAATAAAGAAAATATTTATCAGCTGTCAGAAGGTATATATATATATATATATATATATATATATATATATATATATATATGTCTGTCTGATTAGTCAGTAGACTTTCCTACTGACTGAATGACTGCGCCAGAAAGTCTCGAAGAACAGCCAGTAGTCAGAGTCTGTATGTAGGCTGACCGGTAAGCAACAGGTGGGCGTATCTACTTGGCCGTCACTACGTATTTCTAGTAGAAAATTACTACGTAGTACGTAGAGATGCAAATATTTATTGTAGACTATGTCACGTGCTTGATAAAAGATAAAAATTACCGTCACATAGATTCGAGAAGTTTTGAATTTACCGGTAAAAATAGTCTTATCGGTGTCGTTGGGACGTTACCTCGGTCAGTCGTAAAACATTTCGAACGATAACGTTGCCGGTGTAAAGGATTTACGTATTTGTAATAAAAATAGAAAATAGCTTCCCACACTGTTTTCGTAAGGAGTTATATACGCGTATTGATAATTTTTCCTGATGACGGCGACCCAACCTAACCTCTATTTCGTGAAACTTCCATAGCGAGACGCGCGACGGGTAACGGAGCCCCGTGAAGTTAGCCGCGAAGCATTGACTCTCTCGTAACTCATAGTTTATCTATAGTGCGTACGAGTCTATCGATGGAAGAGGAACTGAATAACGCGAAGGGGACCCTTATGGAATTCGCTAAAGAATTAAAATAGCTACGACCAACAGAGACAACGGAGCTAAGGACGATTCAGGTATACTTTCATATACACGAACTATAGCAAAGCCAACAGCCGTCTATCGGATAGCTTCCATCTACTGTATATTAACGTTCGTGAACTAGAGACATTCTTTCCGCGTTCGTATTTCTTGTTAAGAGGTTAATCCTCGTGATTTCCTACCGTTCATGTACACATGATGCTGCCTCCAAAGATGTTGATACTGACTCCAACGAGAGCTGGTGCTGTCATCGTGAATAGGTGGCAGAGGAGCGTGAACTTGATGGGCGTGGGACGTGGGCGGCAGGGGCGGCGGCGGTTGGGGTTGTTGTTGATGTGCCGGAGCAACTACGATATGTGGATGCGGTGGTCCAGGGGGTTGATGCTGTTGGGGATGATGCGCCTGGTGAAGCACTCCTGGTACTGGAGGCGGCGCCAGTTGCTGGTACTCCATAGCACAGCTCATCCGTTCGTTTCACGCAGTTCGCATTTATTTATTAATCACCAAGAAGGTACCCCAATTAATTGTATGCTTTCGAACAAAATGGCGGGATTCGACCCACCACTGTAAAACGTGATTGGATTATTACGTTACAGGCTTAAATAACAGCGCCCGATACTTATCAGGGTCACGTGATTTCAAGGCGTAACGTTTTTTCTTTTTCTTCTACCACGTCGTCTTCTTAGAATACCCGAAGGCACTAGACCCTTTCCGACGCCTTCGACTTGTTTATTATTGTCAGAATAGTCGCGAGGTCTATCGACGTGTTGATGCGCCGTGCTCTTCGTCTTTACCGAAACATCAAGGCGCGGGTCTAACCTCAAACTGTCATGTTAGAACGTGTCTCTCGTAGGACATGAAAAACGTACATGATCAAAGTTCTAGTTTTCTCGTATACACAAACTACGTGCACTGTGAATAAATGCAAGGACAAAAAGGCAAGCGAGAATTACAAAGAGAAGAGAAAAAGATTAATAAAAGGTGCACGGAAGTTCTTCTGGTACGCTTCGCTCGAATGTCTGTCCTTGACGCTTTTTCCGATCACTGTTTTCACCCACTCACAATGTCCAGATGAAAAGTATACAGAGTATTCGACGTTCTAAAGTATTAACGTAGAAAATTCCACTAGCGGCCTCTCACCGAAAGCAATTATTACCATTAATATTAAATTCAAACGAGAGTCGCGTCTGCCTTATCGTTATGCGATTGCAATCAGACGGCAATGCTCGTAAATGCCATTAAAGACATCACTGAAGTCACGGGAAATAGTCTAACGTAAAAGTATGCGAAGGGACGCGAATTAATTTTTCCTCTCTTCTCTACAGCTGTCAAAATCCCGTGGCTATGACAGCGAGAGTGAACGAGACACGAGAGTGGGAGTCACTGAACGGGCAGCGAGGGAACGAAAGGCGCGTCTCGAACGTACGGCGTCCGGACAGGCACTGCACCGCGGTGCGGAGCCGCCACGAGCTGCCACGGCCTCCAGAGGAGAGCTCTCCTCAGGGAAGGCGCAGAACCTGCCATCGTATGCCCGCCTCCACCTCCCACCACAACGTCTAGAACCCCCCACTTCTGTACCACCACCTCCCATCGTTCGACCGTTGGAAGCGGAGTGAGACAGAGATACCTACACGACTCGAACAGCAATTTCAAACTACGAGAAGGGCTTCCGCATTGGGATTTCTGTATATAAACAGTTGACGAGGGTCTTTATGCATAAAAGGTCTTTATGCATGTGTGTATACATATATATATATATCTGGTAATAGGTACTATTTCAGATTTTGGTATCGTACAAATTTTTTTTTTATCGGTACGACCCGACAAGGAGAATCCGATGAAAAGACTGTATGCTGAGTATTTTCAGTTTGGACTCCCTGGTGCCTCCTTGTTGATTCTACACGGAAATAATCTTTACGACGGTCTATAACAGTATCCAGGATAGAATAAAATTCCCTAGGTAAGATTTATATGGTAAACATCGGTTTTAATAAAAGTAACCATTCTAACGAGTCCTGCGGCTCTTGGCTACGTTCGACTTGTAAACTGAAATTCCTGTACTTTCCAAGGTAAACATAAACGCGGATACTCGCGGAGGATCGTTAACGTGGAATGAAAGTGTTCGAATCGCACAGAGGGTTATATTTCCCTAGGAAATAACTGCATTAAGACTAAGTGCTCAAAAGTCCCTAGAATCACAAAGTTCATTTCTCGTTATTCGAATGAAATTTAAAAAATAGTCATCACTCCCAAATACATACATAGTACCAAATTTTGTGTTTCTCCTTAAAAAAACAAAGGGCCAACGGATGTTCCGATTTGTTTAAAGTGACCCAGATCGTTTCTGACGAAGTCGGTTGGCCGAGTTGAAATTAACGGTAACGCTCGAAGGCACTTGGGTAAAATCGAAAGTGGTGAAATGGCGCGGGGCCCGCAGGACGGAAGGGGAAGATTTCCTCGTGGTGAAGCGAGAGAGAAGGAGGAAAGGAGTTGGCAGGAGCGAGAGAGAGCATGGCGAAGGTCCGTACATAAAAGTGAGTGAGCAATAGAGAGACAGCGAAAAGAGAAGAAAGACATACAGGACAAAGACAGAACCCAGTGAGTAAGTGCCGATCGTGAATCCCAGTGCGCATGCGCGTTCCACTCTCTCCTCGGGGCCCGTGATAAACTCTTCTTGGGCCCAACAATGTATAGCAGATACTTAGAAGAACACTATGGGTCCCAGCAGAGCGCGAGGCCCTGAATCACCGAAACCGGTCTGGGCCCAAAAACCTTGCCTCAGCGAACGCGGAAACTGCGAATCAGACCAGGCGTACGATACGCGCTATTTTTTTGCATTTCATTGTTGTTGTTATTATTATCCACCAACCTCTTTTTTTTTTTTTTTTTTTTTTT